ACATACACAGTGCTGTATCTAAAGTGGGTAAACAACAAGGACCAACTGTATCGCACAGGGAGCTCTGCTCAATATAATGTAAAAACCTAAATGGGAAACTGATTTGAAAAAGCATAGTTATATGTATATATATAACTGATTCACTTTGCTGAACACCTGAAACTAACACAACATTGTTAATCAACTATACTTTAATATAAAATAAAAAGTTTAAAAAAAAGAACCATCTTTTGACTGAGGCTGTTGCACAGTGGACAAAGAAATTTTGCAGGATCAAAGAAATTTGCAGGATCTGCCTTAGTATTTAGGGGTTTGGTTTGATTGTATCAGTGGGGCTACAGAAACACCTGAGAATGGTCTAATGTCTAACTGTTTCCCTGTGATTGTTTGTGACACAATCCCTGACCTTCTCTTGGGAATTGTGAGTAGGAGTTCTTTGTCATCTTACCTCTTGAATTGAGAGGAAGTAGTTCTTGGTTGAGCTGGAACTGCGCTGAGTGCTAGAGGCTGAAGCAAATCCCTCTAGCTATTTAAGAGGAAAAACAAATGAAAAACAGGTGGAGCTGAGACTGCCCAATGATTTCAGATCTGTGTCAGCTTTACTTTCCAAGCCACCTGGGCCTCCTTAGCAGGTTCCATAGAGCTGAAAATAGCCAGCTTCCTCAAAAGACAGAAGTATGTTTCTAATGCAGATATTAAGACTGAGTAAGTCTTTGTACTGATTGATCTCCTGACCTCCTAAGGTTTTTTGACATGACCAGGTTTCAGTGATTCTTGTGAACCTTGCTGTCATCCTCACAACACAGATGTTAGGAGCCAAACATAATGCCTGTGTTGTCATCTTCTCATGAGGCGGGACCGATTATCTTATTGTGCATAGAGCATAAGTGACTCAAAATGTAGAATCATAATATTTAGGTCCTAGCAACAATTCTAGGAATTGAAGATACACTTTCATTTGACAAGTGAAGAAACAGTCCCAGCAAACTTGAGACAAGTATCCAAAGCCCCATATCTGCGTGAATTGGCTGGACCTTTGAATCAGGGGATCTTTGAATTGGCTGGACCTTTGAATTGGGGCTCAGAGGTAAAGAATCCTCTTGCAATCCTCCTGCAAATCCTCCTGCAATGCAGGAGACTTGGATTTGATCCTTGGGTTGTGAAGACCCCCTGGAGAAGGGAATGGCAACACACTCTAGTATTTTTGCCTGGAGAATTCCATGGACAGAGGAGCCTGGTGGGCTAGTCCATGGGATCACAAACACTTGGACATAATTAAGTGACTATCATTTTGAATCCAGGACTTTTAACTCTTAGTATGTGGAATTTGGATACTAATTTGGAATCTGTTTTATTCATTCACTTATTTTATGAACTTAATTTCTTAACTTCTGTGTTGAGTTTCTAACCTCAAAATCCTCATCAATATAAAGTGCATAAAATCATCCTTGTCTCCATCAAAGTATTGTTTGAAATCTAACTGAAATAGTGTGCATGCTAAGTGGCAAAAGCTAAAAAAGCTAATAGAGATACAGCATTTCTAGTTTATTGCTTTCAATGCATTTGTGACCCAAGACTATATTGGAAATAAGATAAACCTCTGTTTTGCATTGTCTTGGAGAGAGGCAGTTAATGGCAGAAGCCAGTTTTATCAACATGAAATTTATAGCTTCGTTAGCATAAGAATTGTATATTCCAATAGCTATCACATCTATTGTGCATGAATTTTTCTGGTCTACTCTATTCTGATGCTGCTTGAAAAGGATGCTACTCCCATCAACAATATAGTACTTTTTCAGTCTGCATTGTAAAGTGGGGCAATATGATAGAGGTTAAGGCATTTTATTGATTTAACTTTACTTTAAACTCTTTCACCCATGGCTAGTAACTAGGATGAGGTAATATACTCCGGTATCTAGGCTAACTTCTATTTTGAGGGCTTGCATCACTTAGTTCTGTCAATAGTGAGCAAATATACACTATATTAGAATTTAATTCTGAAATCTACAGGCACTTTTGTCTGTGAGGCAGAGAGAATAAATGAGCTACTTTTAGGTGGAGTAATCACATTATTAACAGCAGCTTCTAATAAAAATAACTTAGCACAGACAGGAGGAAATAGTAATAGCTATGTGAGCACCAGCAATCAGACATAGTCTTGACATAACTGGGTTCTCAGTATGGCGTGGCATTGGACATTTAGAGATAAGTCAACTTCTGCCTTAAGTAATATGTAGTATGGCAAGGGAGAGAAGATATAAGCAAAACACGCATCTTCATGGGTAGGTGCTAGACTAAAGGTAGAAACAGTTTATCTTGAAAACAGAAAGAGATGAGAGCAGATCCTTCTGCTTGGTGGTATGTGTATGTATGTGTGTGTGTGTGTGTGTGTGTGTGTGTGTGTGTGTGTGTAGTTAGGGAGGCTTATCTGGGAAGGCTTCAGGGAAATATGCTACCAGAGATGCATTTTAAAGAATAAATAGGCATCCACCTTGCATAGAAAATGATGAGGAAGGGCATTTTGGGTAAAGGGGAAAATATGCACTAAGGCAGAGGGCCAAGAGAGAGCATGTGTTTCAGGCTAAATTTGCTCATTCTTTCCTTCATTCCTTCACTCATTTATCAACGACCAACTCTTTGCCAGGTACTATTCTAATTGCTAGGGATACAGTGGTGCGCAAAACAATCTCTATTTTAAGAGCTGACTTTCTGGTGCAGAAGTAAAACAATAAATAAATAAACAACTAACATGCGTATAATATAGTGTCAGGTGGTGGTAAGTGCCATAAAGAGAAATATACGCATCAAGGGGCTAGAGAGAGAAAAGGAAGATCTCTTTAGATACAGCAGTCTTCTCTAAGGAAACGGCTCTTAGGTAGAAACCAAAGGAAGTGAGAGATCAAGCTTGCAGTTACTCACAGAGAGCTGGCACTAGCTGGGAAGAGCAGCAAGTGCAAAGATCCTGAGCTAGGAATGCATGCAGGCGTGCCGAGTGCTCAGTTGCTAAGTCGTGTCCAACTCTTTGCGACCCCATGGACTGTAGCCCGCATGCCTCCTATGTTTATGGGATTATCCTGGCAAGTATACTGGAGTGGGTTGCCATTTCCTTCTCCAGGGGATCTTCCCGAACCAGCGATTGAACCTGCATCTCCTGCATTGGCAGGTGGGTTCTTTACTACTGAACCACCTGGGAAGCCCTAAAGATGAAAAAGGCTTGACTTATTCAGAGATGAGGTAGAAGGGCAACATGTCAAGAGCAAGATGAGGGAAAGTGGTAGGAAAGGATATTACTTATGGTATTGTAGGCTGTGGCAAATATTTTGGAATTTATTTTGAGGGCCATGCAAAGTCATAGAAGGGTTTTGAACAGGAGTGTGAAAAGCCATTTATATTGAAATGGATCACTCTGGCTGCAGTACGGTAGTAGACTGCATCACGGAGACTGTTTAGGAGGCTATTACAGTATTTCTGGTGAGAGGCTTGGAATAGAGTCAAAATGTGTTAGGCGGTGAGACATGGTCTAATTTGGGATATATTTGGAGGTAGAGCTGATAGGATTTCTAATTTAGAGGGGAAAAAAGAGATCAAAAGTGACTCAAGGAATTATGCCTGAGCATGTAGATGAAGAGGGATGTTCTTTATTGAGTTGGAAGCAAAGAAGGGTAGAGTTGCTTTGGGGAGATAAACTCGAGTGTTCTGTTTCTGAATGTGTTCAGTTTGACATAGAATAAAGAATAGGGCTTCCAGGATGGTGCTAGTGGTAAAGAACCCAGCTGCCAATGCAGGTTAAACATAAGAGAAACCAGTTCGATCCTTGGGTCGGGAAGGTCCCCTGGAGAAAGAGGGCATGCAACCTATTCCAGTATTCTTGCCTGGAGAATCCCATGGACAGAGGAGCCTGGCAGACTGCAGTCCATGTGGTTGCACAGAGTCAGACATGAAGAGACTTAGCTTGCACAAAGATAGACACTGAATAGAGAGATAAAATTCAGGAATTTAGGGGAGTCCAGGACTGAAGACATGAATGTATAAATAATCAGCATGCAGATGGTATTTAGAATCCTAGAACTGTATTCAGTAACACAAAGTGTTAGTGTTGATACAGAAAAGATCTTAGGACTAAGCCTGCAGGACTCCAGTACTTAGCCATTAGGAGCTAAATGATACCAAAGAGACTCAGAAGGACTAGCCTGAGAAGTAGAGGAAATTCAGGAGAGTGTAGGAATAAAAGTTAAGTGAAGAAAGTGGTAAGAAAGAATGACCAGCTGGGTCAGATAAGTGTGGTGCAGGCTGAGAATGGATTTTTAGATTGGGAAATGTGGAGGTTACCATGTGGATCGTGGGCAGCAGCTTCAGTGGAGAGGTGAGTGTGAAAGTTTGAGTAGCATGGCTTCGAGAGACTAGAAGGTAAGAGAGTGGATAGAAGGAGCATAGAAAAATCTAAGAATTTTACAGTTAAGTTGTGTAGAGAAATGAGGGAATGTGGGGTCAAAGGGAACATTGTTTTTATGAAACTATTATGACATATTTATATGCCAGTGAGAATGATTGACTAGGAAAAGGAAAGTTGTCACAGGAGAGAGATTGGGAGCATTGCAAGAGTAATTGACTTCCTATGATTAACACATTCTAGGCTTGGATCAGATACATCATAGTCACATCAGACTCTTGTTAAAGAAAAAAAAAAAAAACAGATTACCTTGTCCTGCAGTCTACCTCCCATGTATTAGAAAGATCCCATGTGCTTATATTTTTTAAAAGCTCCCCCAGTGACTCTAGTGTGAGCTAGATTTGGAAGCTTTTGTTTGTTTTTTAATTTATTTATTCTTAATTGGAGGATAATTGCTTTACAGTGTTGTGTGGCTTTCTGCCATATATCAACGTGAATCAGCCATAGATATACATGTATCTGCTCCCTCATGAACCTCCCTCCCACCTCCCACCCCATCCCACCCCTCTATGATGTCACAGTGCACCAGATGGGACTTTTTGTTTTAGGCAAAATAGTGTACTGCAGTGGCGGCAAGAGTCCATTGACTTGGGGTGGGGAAGATGGGGCTGTAAGTTTTGAGTTTTTATAAATCTTTAATCTCTTAGCTTTGACTTTTCCTGTTTGTGGATTTCCCCCCTAAGAGTGCTCTTAGCGCAGCGCACTGGAGGCGGCTAATGGTTTTTGGAGACCTTGTGGTTTCTCCACAGGGATATTAATGGAAGTATCTGGCTCTCACAGCCTGTGATTAGCAACACTCTGATTAAGATTTTAAGCAAATAGTTATCCATTGAAAAAGTGACAGTCATGTGCTTTTCTCTTCTGTGGGATACACAGAAATATCCACAAGACTGCCAAATCTAGTGCAGTCATGGGCAAGAAACTGGGTCAAAGGGGACCATTAAGGTTTACATCTGATATACTGAATCTTGGAACCAAACTAGGTGCTTGGATGCTTGATTCTTGGATCTGGAATCCAAAGGTCTGGGCTGTATTTTTGTCTCTGTAGTTTACAAACCACATGAATTTGGGGAAGTTTTATGTGTTCATGTGAAAATGAGTGTGCTAGGCCTTCCCTGCTTTCATCTTAGAGTTACAAAGTTCAGATGAGTGAGAAGCATTTCAAGACTGATAAAGGTTTGTGACAGCATATATGTGTATCTATAGAGTATTTGTATAGAGTAGTATATATTTTGGGGGGCTCCAAAATCACTGGAGATGCAGTGACTGCAGCCATGAAAAAGTTTACTCCTTGGAAGAAAAGTTATGACCAACCTTGACAGCATATTAAAAAAGCAGAAACATTACTTTGCCAACAAATGTCCATCTAGTCAAAGCTATGGTTTTTCCACTAGTCATGTATGGATGTGAGAGTTGGACCAATAAGAAACCTGAGCACCAAAGAATTGATACTTTTGAGGTGTAGTGTTGGAGAAGACTCTTGAGAGTCCCTTGGATTGCAAGGTGATCCAACCAGTCCATCCTAAAGGAAATCAGTTCTGAATATTCATTGGAAGGACTGATACTGAAGCTGAAACTCCAACACTTTGGCCACCTGATGTGAAGAACTGACTAATTTGAAAAGACCTTGATGCTGGAAAAGATTGAAGGCAGGGGTAGAAGGGGATGACAGAGGATGAAATGGTTGGATGGCATCACCGACTCAATGGCTGAGCATTTGAGTAAGCTCTGGGAGTTGGTGATAGACAGGGAAGCCTTGCGTGCTGCAGTTCCTGGGGTTGCAAAGAATCAGACGTGACTGAGTGTCTGAACTAACTAATATATAGTTGTTGATGTGAATTCTGAAAAATAGCTTTTATGAACACAGTCTTATACTGCATGACATAAATATCTAGAAAAAGTGATCATTCACACCCCCCATCACTTGTGATGCAATTGATGATTAAAATATAAGACTTATTAAAATGTATTTGTTTACATATATATACACATATACAAATGCATATGTAGGTATCTAGCTTTGGTCAGTATTACTTTGTTAGTTTTCCTCAGAGATTAGAGTGAATTTTGAAATATATTTATTGAACTGAGTTATATTTTTGTATTACTTTCAAATTATAATTAGACATAGTATGTTAGCCTGAACCTTTGAATTTTTCTTACAGCAGTTTCGAATATGGAGATAAGCCTTAGAGCTTCACTGGTGCTTCTCTCTGCACTACAACTGTGTTTCAACCCGTGTCCCACAAATTTGGGAAAGAAATCACAAATGAAAGATGGAATAAAATGATCCAACAGGTTGTACCTTGATACACCATGCTGGTTACAAGACACTTGCAGGTGGGAAAGAGGAGATTATAATTGGTTTTTGGATAGCAAGTTTCCCAAGAGAAGTTATGACACTAGAGCAGGGGGTCCTTTGCCTCCAGGATCTAACGCCTGATGGTCTGAGGTCGAACTGATATGATAATAATAGAAATAGAGTGCATACTAAATTCAGTGTACTTGAATCATCCCAAAACCATTCCGCAGCCCCTCATCCAGGGAAAAATTGTCTTCCATGAAACCAGTCCCTTGTGCCAGAAAGGTTGGGGACTGCTGCACTAGAGTACATCTAGGAGATGATGATCAGGGTATTAAAAAGGTTTGAAATTGTGACTTAAAAGGAGCAGGTAAAGACCATAATGGACAGAGAGGCCTGGCACGCTGCAGTCACTGGGGTCATAAAGAGTCGGACATGACTGAGCGACTGAACTGAACTGAACTGAAAGGCTGTAATGATATTTAGCTTAGAGAACAGACCAAAGTAGACTGATTTGATATTCTGATATTCTGCATAGCAGACCTGATATTCTGGTGATTTCAAGGAAGGAAAGGATTGAGTTTGAAAGGAAGAGCAATGAATGCAGGTGTAAAGATACACAATGAAAGCTTTGGCTGCTTATGACTTTCTAATCACTCCTACAGATTACCAGATGCTGTATGACGATTGAGATATTGCAGAGGGATTTGAACATCAAATTTGAAGCAGAAGTAGATGACCTAGCAAGTCTTCCAGCTCTAGTACTCTGTGTCCAGTCACAGACTTTATGTGAGGAAGAGTTAGTGTATTTTCAGAGCTCTAGTGGAGATTGAGGGAAGGTTACAGAGATGTGGATGGTTGTTGGTTATGCTAAGCAGTAGAAAAGATTTTTGAATTTAGTTCCGAAGGTGACTGGGAACACAAAACTTGCTCCTTTGATTCTCAAACCTTTAGGTAGATCCCCGAGTACATGTTGTTCTGTTCTTCTGTTCTGATTCAGGAGGTCGGATCTGTGTCACTGGTATGTAGCTTGGTGTCTACTAAATGACAGGAAAAAAAATGTTAGCGTCTAAGGACTCTTCCTATCTTCCTTTGATGGGGTAAAATTTACTGTAAAAGAACATAGCTCTTTAACATAGAGCTCTGAATAAGTGCATAAATTGAGTGGAAGAAGCCACAATTTAATTTATGGGCCACTTAGTTAACCATAAGTCCATTTGTCATACTTAACAGCTAACTGTGCTTCTAATGCAGAGTTAATGTTTTAAACTGTGACTTCTAGATTGATGTGGTTGGAAGGAGACAGTTTAATTCTTATACAGATGAGCAAGCTGAGGTTCTCAGAGGGAGTGTGCTAAAAGGTACCCAGTCTCAGAACCGAGACGGGGGCCTTGGATTCCTGCCACCCATTGTCTGGGGCAGCCTCTAACTCTCCACACTTCCATTTGTCTCCCAGATTTGTAGTTCCCATCATAACATGTTGAGATCATCAGTTTTCAATTATACTGGAAGTAATTTGACCTTACAGCATAACTTTGTATCTCTACCACCCTAGCTATGAATTAGAGTAGTCTTTTAGAACTGACCCAGAGGACAGCATCCTGAAAGTGACTTTGCCCACATCTGGTGATACAGGTGGCTCAGTGGTAAAGAATCTTCCTGCCACTGCAGAAGACACAGAAGATACAGGTTCCATCACTGGGTCAAGAAGATCCCCTGGAAAAGGGAATGGCAACCCACCCCACTATTCTTGCCTGGGAAATTCCATGGACAGAGGAGCCTGGCGGGCTATAGTCCATGGGGTTGCAAAAGTCAGACATGACTGAGCGACTGAGCGTGAGTGAAATGTCAGGAGCAAATGTCAGCTACCCCGGTAGCCACAAATCTCTAGATATCCATACACTTCTTGTGTAATTTCACTATATCTGTGTGCTTCCTGTTGTTACTGTAAATCAACACACTTGAAAAATCAATTTAGCCTCATCTCAGCCAACTATATCTGTAAAATCATAAGGTTAATATGCTGTTTTTTCCTAATATAAAAGTAATTATTTTAATATTTTATGTGATATGTATAAGGTATTCCCCAAGCTTTGGGGAATATTGCAGAAGTGAGACTCTTTCAACAGACTCTCTGCTAATGTAATGATGGATGATAGTCATTTTTCCCCTCCACCCTTCCCATCCCACTACTGATGTCTTAGTAATTTAAGAGAGAGAACACTAGATCATATCCTTGCTAACACACACACACACATACACACACACAGACATACACACACATATATATTTATTAAAAAAATTTCTCTAATGGAGAAGTAGGGAGGAAAGAATTAAGAAATAATTTGTTGGAAAATAAATGAATCAGGTTATGTTCGTACGTTAATGGTTTTAAGGATCTCCAGACTAGAAGAGGCGATTAGGAAAGTGTGTGAAAAAGTGTTTCTTTCCTGCTGAGCTATTGATCAGTTGTTTACAACTTCTCATTAGAGATGTGAGATGTAAATAAAAGCTGCTTAGAGTTTTTCTTCCTGTAGTGCCACCCAAAGGCCCACATAAACATAAATAAACACAATATTATAAATTCACTTTTGGGAATTTGAGTTTGTGGTGTGGTTACTTTAATAGGATAGATCATACTGCTGTCTGGTTTCAGATGGTGCTTGGGTTAATCTGTCTCATAGACCTACTTTTTGTGATTGAGCTCAGTTTACAAGTAGAGACACCCTTATTACATGAGAGACTAAAAATCTTGATCCCATTTGAGCCATAATTTTTAATTCAAATAAGTTGATGCTAATGAATTAATGGTTTTTTAGAATACAGCTTTACAACCAGCGTTCATAGTTTCTGTCCTCCAGCCCTAAGAAGCTTTGTCATTTTACAGCAGTGTAGGTGTGTTGTATTCATGATATGAATAAGGCTAGGAAGTACTAGACAATGAATAATGCCTCTAGTTTGTATAGTTTAGAAAACACTCACATGTATCAACTCTCTTGAGACAGCGTTTCTGTGAGGCAAATGTTATTTTCCTTATATTTTAGGTGAGGAAACTGCAGATTTGAGAGGTGAAGTTACTTATGTAAATCTGCACAACTTAAATGAGTGGCAGGTGAAGATTTACAAATGAAGTGGCTCATTTTTAGTGCAATGAATCTCCCATTACACTGCAGCTGCCTTCAGAGTTTCACATTTTCATATTATTAGATTGTGTAAACTTAAAAACACAAATGATCTTTGCTACATATATTTCCTAAGAAGCTGTTTTCAATTAAAGTACCATTCAAAGATGTTTCCTGACCTAATTTGTGCATTGCAGGATGAGACGACACAGATGTGATCCTTGCCTTTAGGGAGATCACAGTCTTCTGGGGCTGGAGGGAGTTACATATACAAACACTTTAATACAAAGCAGCTAGGTTATGTTTTATAAAGTGGGTAGAGATAAGGCCAGGAATAAAGATGCTGATATAGAGAACAGACTTGTGGACATGGGGAGCGGGGGGAAGAGAGGGTGGGATGAACTGGGAAAATGAGCATTGACATATAGGCACCGTCATGGGTCACATAGAGAGCTGGTGGGAAGCTGCTCAAACAGGGAGCTCCATTCAATGCTCCCTGATGACCTAGAGAGGTGGGATGATGGGTAGGTGGGAGGGAGGTTTAAGAGGGAGGGGATATATGTATAGCTATATACGTATAGCTGATTCATATTGTTGAACATCAGAAACTAATACAACAGTGTGAAGCAATTATATTCCAATTAATAAATTTAAACATCAGGAAAAAATAAAGTTGCTATAAAAAAGGAGTTGCTATAAAAAAGTTGCTATAAAAAAAAGACAAAATCCTATGGAGGAATAAGAGAGAAAAAAGTTGAATTGAAACAAAGAGGAAACCAGAGAAAGGATTATGGGAGAAATTGTTGTTCATTTGCTCAGTTGTGTCCTACTCTTTGCGACCCCACAGACTGCAGCATGCTGGGCTTCCCTGTCTTTTACTTGCTCAGACTCATGTCCATTGAGTCCATGATACCATTCAACCATCTCATACTCTTCTTCTCCTGCCCTCAATTTTTCCTGGCATTAGGGTCTTTTCCAGTGAGTTGGCTCTTTGCATCAGATGGCCAAAGTATTGGAGTTTCAGCACCAGCATCAGTCCTGCTAATGAATATTCAGGGCTGATTTCCTTTAGAATTGACTGGTTGGATCTCTTTGTTGTCCAGTGGGAGAAATGCAGCTATGCTAATGATTACTTTTGCCATGGGTAAACCTTTTTGTTTGTTTGTGAAAACTTATTTATTACATACAGAGAAAGGCAAATAAAACTTGAAATTATAACTTAGTATGATTTCACAAAGTGAACATATCCATGTAACCGTCATGGAGACTAGAACCCAAACATTATCAGAATCCCTGTAAGTCTGTCCTGTGCCTCTGTCCAGTCACTACCTTCTCCAAGGGCAGCGGTTGTCTTGTTCTAACACTATAGATTAGTCTGCTTGTTTTAAAACATCAAATAAAGTAATACCTTATACTTTGTTTAATGTTATGTTTGTGAGACAAATTGTTTTTTTGACTGTACAGCTTATGGGATCTTAGTTCCTGGACCAGGGATCAAACCTGGGTCCTTGGCATTGAACTCATGCAGTCTTAACTACTGGACCAACAGGGAATTCCCAGAGACACAAATTGTTGCTTGTAGCTTCAGTTCTAGTTTGTTCTTTCTTTCTTTTTTTCTTTCCTGTAAATATACCACACATTTATTATCCATTCTACTGTTGGTGATCTTTGGGTTGTTTACAGCTTGTAGTCTTTGTGAGCACTGCTGCTATCAACAATCTTGTATCTCTTTTTGTGAATATATATATGCATTTCTGTTGGGAATAGTCCCAGGAGTGGATTTTCTGAGTCATGGAATACGCCTATACTAATATAGCTTTTGAAGAGGAAAAATAAGGATGACTAATGTCTTCATTGATGGAAGAGGAACCATTTACATTTACAGGACCCATGCCTGCTGGGCTGCAGAGAGAATT